GAGATGAGGGAGGTTTCCGTCTGAACAGTCGGACATGGCTGGCAGTGCCGGGAGCAACAGGTCCCTGTCCCCAAAGATGCCCAGACTCGGGGTCCCTGTTGGAGGGCCTCCAGCGACGCTGAGATTCAACCAACTCTCAACCTCAGCATTCCATTTTTTATGACGACACAGGCGTTGCAAAGGCGATGTGAACTAGCTCCAGTGTGCGTGTGGACATTTAAAAGAGATTTTCAATAATTAAAAACAAAAACAAACCGAACGCCCACGTACCCATACAAGGTGGCCGTGAAGAGAGACGCGGGGAAGAGCAGCGGGCCACGCTGCTGGCGGAGTGGAGGCATGCGGTGCTTTCCCAGGCTCCTCGGTTGCAGAGAACTCCCCGATGTCCGCCTTCGAGGCCCGAGGCCCAGGAGTTGCGGTGGGCGGGCGGCCCCAGGGAGCTGGAAAGGAGGGATCCAGTGAGTGTGGCTTTTACCGTCTCGGACCTCTCATCTCCGGAAGGAAGTGTGCTGCGACGGAAACAAGCAGACTGTAGCAGGGCTGGTTTCGGGGTGCTCCGAGGGCTGAATGGTAGATTTCACTTGTTCTAGAAAAGCCTGGCGACTCTGCACGGCACGTGTGATCAGCGAGGCGCCGTGTGTGCGGCTGGGACTGCAGAGCAGCCTGTGTTCGTGGGGAGGGGACAGGCGCAGGAGGGAAGAGCTGAGGGCTGACGCAGTTCCTGACTGTGCGGTGCGGAGCGGCAGGGAGCCGCGGGGAGTGGCAGGGAGCCTCGGGAGCGGCTGATCGGTGGGACATGCTGGACCCGGCGGGAAGGGTGGGACTGTGTGACCCAGCAGACAGGCCGCAATCCGCAGGGCCGGGAGAAGTGGATTTTCCTTTCTCCCCGCCGGTGCTGGGTGGGAGCCCTGGAGCCTTTTGTGGGACACAGGGGGCTTCTCCGCCCCAGCAGGGCGAGCTGCGAGCTGTGCACGAGACACTCTCTGTTTACACAGGCTCCAGAGCCCGGCGCGGGTCTGCTTCAGCGTATTAAAAGACACTTTATCAGACAGGGTTTCCCCTGCGGTTCCGGCGTGAAGGAAAGATGAACTCTTTCTCCCCGTCAGGGTTGCTTCTCCTTCCGGAAGTCTACAGGCCCTACACTGTCCTTGGGACACATTCCCAGGGGGACAACGGATCTATTTGGTCTGAAGAACTGATCCACTGGAACGTGGCTACCAGGCGGTGGGTGTGGCTCATGCTTGTGGGATGGTGGTGCTTCCACAACGGGCTGGAAGGGACAGAGATGCTGACGTCGGAAGGGACAGGGTCGTCGGCCTGGGGAAATGCCGCGTTTCCAGAGCATCAGTCGTAGAGGGACTGTTAAAAGCCTGCAGAAGGCCAGGTGTGGTGGCTCACACCTGTAATCCCAATACTTTGGGAGGCTCAGGCAGGAGGATTGCTTGAGACCAGCCTGAGCAACACAGCAAGACCCCATCTCTATAAGAAATGTTTAAAATAATTAGCCAGGCATGGTGGTGCAATGCCTGTAGTCCCAGCTACTCGGGAGGCCGAGGCCGGAGGATCGCTTCAGCCCAGGAGTTTGAGGTTGCTGTGAGCTAGGCTGACGCCACAGTACTGTACTCAGGGCAAAGGAGTGAGACTCTGTCTCAAAAAAAAGAGTCTGCAGAAAGAGACTCTCGACTTGCTCGGGGCAAGGGAGCAGAGTGCTGGAAACCTTTGGGGTGTTCGAGGAACTGTCACCGGGAGCTCTTCCCGCCTTTTCCATCTCACTCAGGCACAAACACGGCCTTGGAGGGAGAACAGTGGTCCCTGAGGCTCACCGTGCTCCAGTGTTTTGTTCAGAAAAGCACTATGGTATTAAGTGACATCGGGACCTTGTCCTAGACACCAAGCCTGAGCCCCCGGCACCATGTGAGGATGTGGGGACATAAAGGAGGCTCCTCTGTCACTGTGCTTGGGTTGCAAGTAATTCTGCACATGGGAGCATGGGGACTTCTGACCCCCAGCAGTGGACTGTGACTCCCAAGCGGGTGGCCGGCCTCGGAGGACTGTTATAGACATCATGGGACCCACGACCTGAGAATAGGATCACTGCCTCCTTCTCCATCCCAGGACCTTGGACATGCTGGTCACCGCCGTGGCCTTTTGTTCTTGGAGAGGACAGGGACTTCAGGAAGTGGGGTCACTCTGCCGCCTCTGCAGGTCATCTTCCCAGACTTGCCTGAGCCTCTCAGTCTTCCGCTCTGTTCTGCACATCTTTTTTGAAAGTTAAAAAAAATATGAAATACCATATTTCAAGCACATAGAAGGGAACAGAAAATAATGTAACAAATATCTGTGCATCTCCACCAAGGTTGGACACTAACATTTTGCTCCATCTGTGTCAGGTATTTTCAAAAATTGCAGCTAGAATTAAAAACTTGCCTATCTATTTTTAGTAGAGAGAAAATCATAAATAAGTTTAGTCCTAGTAAGTTGTTGGCTAAACACAGCAGCTTCCTCTGAGTCTTCAGATGATGGAAATTTTGTGGATTTGTGCACAACAGTGACATCCAAACCAGAAAGATTGCTAGTGTTCATCTCTGCACTCCAACAAATTTGCTCGAACTTCCCTTGTATGTCTTTTGTCACCAGTCTGCAGAATGCCCACAGGCTAATGCCATTCCAGCCACACGTACTATAACAGAAAGCACAGGGCTCCACAGGTGCAAACATGAGAAAGCACACCCCACCCTACTCAGAGTTTTGCCCCATTCAATAACAGCGGGTTACCAAATGATTCTGGAAAGTCAAACGACCCTTGCAACAACGTTCAGAAGCTCTCAGGGTCCACCCCAGCCACACCGGGACGGCTGTGCTTTTTAACCCAGCTGGTGTCACGGAGGCTGCGGACTGGCCGAGGCTTTGTAGAAAGGCATTGCTCCTGAATTTTATTCTTAAATTTCCAATTCAGTTCATTTCCACTAGAATGTTCTGTGAATGTTTCAAGCGTGAAGTGCCTGAAGGTAAACTTGCTCTCATTCCATCCAATTATATCCTCTTTCCAATGTCCCCGCTTTTCCCTTAAAGTCACCTGTGTCCTGCCCAGCCCGGAGCTTCCCTCCCTCGTGTCCTTGGTCTCCAACCCCCAGGTGTGCGCTGAGTCCTGCCGGGTCTTCCCCAAATGTTTCCCGCGTCAGTTTACTCCATTCCGACCCCGTCACCATCACCGTTCAAGTTGGGAAATGTTTTTCACCTTTTTTAAAAAAAATTTTACAATAAATTTTAGTTTCTACACACAGCATTGACATTTTCCACCCTTAGGCTACTGCGGCAGACTCCGCCTTCCTCATTGTCCTTTTAATCCATGATCGCTATCAGATTAGTCTCCTGAAAGAGGCATTTTGCACCATTCTGCTCAACATAGTTCAGTGTTTCCCAGACAGCCTACGGGAGACAAGTTATCTAAATCCAGAACCGGCAGTGTTTTCTGTGATCTTTATAAACCCACCTTTCTAGACACATCCCACCTGATGACCCACGGAAACATCTGCCCCGGGCGCACGGACCACTTGCCCCGCCCACTTCTCTGATTCCCATTCAGTTGTGTCGCCTGAGTGTTCCTTCCACGCTTGCGTTAAACTAGCCGGTCCCCACCTGCACCCAGTGTGAACCAGGCCGTGGGGCAGGCCTGTGGCCCCGCAGGGTAAACAAGGCAGAGACAGCCCCTGCCCGTGCAGACCCTGAGACCAGGTGGAGAAAACCACAGGACAGACAGGCAGTCGGCACGCCAGGCTGTGCGGGGGAGTTGTCACAGGGAAAGACAAGGCCCCCAGGCCCCGGGGTGGGGAGGCAGAGCCGGCTTTGCAGAGGAAAGGACATCCTGGTCCCGGTTCACTCTTCATCGTGGTGTCTGGGAGAGGAAGAGGAGGGGAAGGACTCTGCAGAGAGGGAACTGTCACGCCCAACTCCCACCCTTCCTTTCACACCACCTCAAACGTCCCGACGGGTGGGCTGCTCTGTGAGCACAGGCTTAGAGTCACAGGGACTCAAACTCTAGCCCTGACTCTGCTGCGGGCTACTTGTGTAAATGATCATGAAAACTGTGCCCAGTCTTACCAAGTCAACCTGGTGATCTGTAAAAACACTAACTCTGACATCACAGAGTTCACTCGTTCAATAAATATGTGTTAAACGCAAGGACCAGGCACTCTCCGAGGTGGTGAGGACACAGCTAGGAACACACAAATCCTGGCTCTTACGGCACAGGCATTCTAGTCAGGAGACTGGATGGCAAATAGATATGTAAACTATGGAGTTGCTTGGAGGAGGATAAAGTCTATGGAGAAAATAAATCAGAGAAGGGAGCTGGGGGGGGGGTTGCAATGTTATTCATTCATTTATTCCCTAACTCACTCATTTATTCAAACAAGTAGTATTGAAGGTGTGCCACATGCCAGGCACTGTTCTAGGCTCAGGGCACACAGCAGGGACAACAGACCAAATCCCTGCCTCTGTGGAGCTTACATTCTGACCTGGAAGAGGGAGACGAGAAACAAGATTAAAATAGGAAAACATGGAGATGTTCGTGTAAGGTAAGATGTCCAGGAAAAATGAGTAGATGGATTCAAATACTAGGCAGGGAGGCCCGCTGAGCCTACTGAGAAAGCAATCATTGATTAAAGCTGTGACGAGACTTATATTTTTAACATGATCGCTCTGGTCTCTGTGTCAAGAATAGTCCCAAGGGGGGCCGGGCACGGTGGCTCCGTCCTATAATCCTAGCACTCTGGGAGGCCGAGGCAGGCAGATCGCTCAAGGTCAGGAGTTCGAAACTAGCCTGAGCAAAAGCGAGACCCGTCTCTACTAAAAATAGAAAGAAAATTATCTGGTCAACTAAAATAATATAGAAAAAATCAGCCGGGCATGGTGGCGCATGCCTGTAGTCCCAGCTACTCGGGAGGCTGAGGCAGCAGGATTGCTTGAGCCCAGGAGTTGGAGGTTGCTGTGAGCTGGGCTGAGGCCACGGCACTCACTCTAAACTGGCAACAGAGACTCGGTATCAAAAAGAAAAAAAGAATAGTGGGAAGGAGTTGGCCTCCCACAGGAGTTGGGCTTTCGCTGTGTGGAGTTTGCAGGGAGCAGGTGCCGCGAGGACTCGCAGGGGGCGCGGGCGACTCGGGGCGGGCGCGCCCCACAGAGCCCAGGGCCGGGCAGACTGTCCTCTGACGCGCGGGCGGCAGTGACGTCCACGAGCAGGTAGACTGCCGCCGGTGTAGCCTGTGACAAGGCCGGACGGGGACCCCGGTGCCACTGCAGCCTCTAAACTTTGTTTGCTGGGTGCTCGACACATGAGCTGTGACCGGCAAAGGAAACGTCCCGTCCTCCGCCTTCCGAGGGGGAGGCTCTGGCGGGGTCCCCACGCGTGGGCCACCTGCGCAGGTCAGGGACGGAGGTCGGGCGGGAACTCCTGGACGCCGTCCCAGACCGTCTTCGCCCCGCATCTCCAGGGGGAAGCTGGGCTCTTCCAGTCACAGGCCCAGCCGGGCGTGCCTGGGACTGAAGTTTATTTAAGAGCTGCGACGCGGAGGAAGAGGACCCCGCGTTGATACTTCTCCTCCTCTGAGGCGGGCCGTGCCGTGTGGCGAGTCCCCGCCGCGCCGCCCTTTTGTGGCGACGCACTCGACCCTGAGCAGACCTCGTCCGGGTCGCCTCAGCCAAGGGCCGTGCGCCAGATATTCTCTGCTGAGGAGAGAAGCTGAGGAGAGAGGCAGGAGGGAACACAGAAACACCCAATCTGTTATAGTTATTCAAAGAGTTTTCAAACAAGGAATGCCATCCCACCCCACGTTCTCGGGACACAGCGGCGCCCGTCTCTGAACTGGCGGCGTGGCGAAACCGGAAGCGCCGTTTGCGCGCGTTGTTCAGCGCGCATGCGCTGACGGGCTGCAAGCCATACGCTGGCGTCGGGCGCCATGTTCCGTCAGCTTTTGCGGCGCGTGTCTGAGGCCGATGCGGCAGCTCTCTCAGCGCGTTAGCGCCATGCACGGCACTCTTGTTCTCTTTCCAGTGCCTCGGGGAGTGCCTGGCACACAGCAGTCACTCCATAAATGCCTGAGCCGGTCCAGTCCCGTTCCTGAAGTGAGGCGCCAGGTCTACACGCGTCCATCTTGTAGTTCACGTCCCCACTCCTGTCCCCCACAGGCGAGCTGCCCCACGTAAGTCCGCGCCGTTTCCGCTTCAGATATGACTTCCTGGTGACCCCGCGAAAAATTGGCGGAGATTCCCGGGAAGGATGCTGTTGTAATTGGCCTTGCGGGGCTTCGCAGAGGGATACGTTTCACATGATCCACGTTTCCAGATGGGCTTCGTCCCCAGGGCAGTCATTCCAGAGCCTTTGCTCAGCGTTCGGTTCACGCCAAGAAATATAAATAGTGATTTAGGGTCTGAGGGCCCCCTCCAAGGGCTCCCTGCTTGGGTGCGGGTCGGGCGGGGGAAGAGGTCGCGGGGGCTGGGGGAGGGGCGGGCGTCGCAGGGGTTGGGGACACGGGGTGTGAGCGGTGGGGGAGGGGGCGCTGGGTGTGAGCGGTGGGGGAGGGGACGCTGGGTGTGAGCGGTGGGGGAGGGGACACTGGGTGAGTGGTGGGGGAGGGGGCGCTGGATGTGAGTGCGTGCTGGTGACAGGTCTCTCTGCAAGATGGGGACCAGCTAGAGGTGGAATTGCCGGAGCGAGGTCAGGCGGCCGAGGAAGCTTCTAGCAGCAGCAAGCCCTGGCTGCCGGAGTGCCGGGGCTGGAGGAGTTGCAGCTTCGCTCCCGCCCGGCCACAAAAACAGTCCTCAGACCGCAGGGAGAGTGTCCACGCTCCTTAGCTCAGCGGGTCGTGGCGCTGTGCGACTGAGGTTTAATTGCAGTGTTTCCTGAGCTCTTGCTAGGTAAATATATTAGCACCTTCAGCAAACACTTGTGTGTTGGCCTCTGTGCTTCGTGCCTGGGGTACAGCCATGAGCAGGGACCGAAGTAAGCACCGTTGTTATCAGTGAATTCCCTTCCTTTTCATTGTCTCAGATTCTGATATTTCTTTTTTTTTTTTTTTTGAGATAGTCTCTGTTGCCTGGCTAGAGTGCCCTGGCGTCAGCCTAGCTCACAGCAACCTCAAACTCCTGGGCTCAAGCAATCCTGCCTCAGTCTCCCAAGTAGCTGGGACTACAGGCATGTGCCACCATGCCCGGCTAATTTTTTCTATATTATTTTAGTTTACCAATTAATTTCTATTTATAGTAGTAGAAACGGGGTCTCGATCTTGCTCAGGCTGGTTTCAAACTCCTGACCTTGAGCGATCCGCCACCCCCGGACTCCCAGAGTGCTAGGATTACAGACGTGAGCGACTGTGCCACGCCATATATTTCTTAAACACCTGCTGACATTCCCAAAGGGTACATTCAGAGTAAATCCTTCATGAGTTCTCAGTGGTGGGTCAGGGGAGCCCAATGTTCTAAGACTAGCATGATCTAAGTTATGGCTGAAAGTCACCAGCTAAGCACACTCTGGCTTCTGATTGGGATTTTAGTGAGAACCTGGTAGGATGGGCTCGTTTGTGAAGAACAGTGTCAGCGTCCTGGCTTGCCTGGGCCTCTGTAGCCCCTTTTACCTGGGATCCTGGCTTCCAGCGTGTTCTGCAGAGTCTATTCCCACACTGCAGCCAAAGCATTTTATCATGTCTTGGTTAAAAGCCCTGCAGCAGCTCTCTGTTGCAATTAGAATAAAATTCCCTCTCCCCATTGGGGTCTCCGCAGCCCTTGGGTCTGGCTGGCGCTTCGTCTCTCACTCGTCAAGAAGCCTGTCTTGGCTTCAGTGTCAACCTGAAACTCCTTCCGCCGTATCTTGGCTGGCCTGGCGCACTTCTCAGAGCTCGGTTTAAATATCCTCCCAGAGAGGCCCCTCCTGGCCCGTCTTTCTTAAGCTGTTCCGCATCTTTCCCCCAGAGCATCTCTTTATCTCCTTAGCACGGTTTATATCCTTCCTAGCAGGAATAGCGTAGCGGTTTATGGAGATACATATTTGCTGGATGAGTTAACATGCATCGCATTTGCCAGACACCCGGAGGTGTTCTGGGGATGTGTGTGACTGTCACCAGATTGCCAGTGGTCTGACATCACTTTTTAAGTCAAATTTGACAATGTGGTCCTTGACACAGAGCCTACAACCTGGTACCCACACAGTGCTTAATACTTTTTGTTAAAGTGGCTTCAACTAAATTAGCACCAGACCAGTGAGGGGGAAATCCCATGTGACTTGAGAACCCTACTGATTGGTACCAGACAGCGACCCAGGAAGAGGAGTTCATGATGGTGGCCTGTTACAGTTGCCAACGTCATTGCACATTGCCTTACTGAAAGTACAGGGTGACGGCAGGGCCCAGGGAACAGGTGCTCCCCAGTGACGGGGCAGGGCCGGCTGCAGCGGGGTGGAGGGTGGCGGCTGGTGGCGCGTGCAGGCTGGGTGCTGGTAGGAGGGGACCCTGCTGTTCAGTGGCCACACCTGCTGGCTCGACAGCCTGTCTGTTTAAAACTGACAAGGAGAAAATGAAAGTTTCTCCGTTTTTTTGTGTCACGCATGAATAAACAATTGCTTGGCAGCTAGTTAAAATTCATATTTCCCTTGTTGGGTTTTTAGTGACTGTGAAGATCGGTTTAATGCGAGTCTCCCCTGGCTTCGCCCTCTGGGCTAACGAGCTGGCTGTATTTGCATTTCTTTTCATGGAAGTTTTTTTTCTTCTATGGCCCTGACAGCAGTGTCAAAAATGGCCCGTCATCTTCACAGATGTTCCGTGTTAGAGAGCGTTTGCTCTTACACAGATACAGAGACATAAAGAGACACTTTGCATGTATCCAATCCTTTTTAATGACTCAACCCAAAGATTGTTTTTTGTCGGTGGAATGATCATCCACAAAAAATATTTGTCAACTACTAAGAATTCGAGAGTCTTCTAATTCTGCTAGGACAGGAAGTTCTAAACATTGTGAAATAGACTTTTCCATTGGTACACGGTCACTCACAGATCCTAAACCACACGATTGTATCACTGCCCCACGGAGAGGAAGACTTCGACGTCAGCACATGTTTTACACGTGTGAGACACCTGCCACTGCTGCCCCGAGTGTTTCTCTCATGTGCTCTGTAGATAATCGAGTCATAGGACTGGGAAACAGAAAGACAGCCTTTACTCTAACTTGATTCACAACTTATGTAGAGTTGCAGCTGAGACGTACTCACAGGCAGCTGTGGCCACAGCGCTTCCCTTCGCATTGCAGGAAATACCTGGGCAAGGAGTTAAGAGCATCTCCAGGTTGCGTGGGCACCACCTCAGGAGCACGCTGGCCGCCACCCTGCCCGAGGAATGAGACCTGGAGCTCAGGATACGGATTCTTACCCGCCAAAACCCAGGAGAGAGACCCTCCTAAGGTTGATAGGAAATTTGTTTCTGACCCAAGGGTTAGAGAATAGCTAACTGTGAATTTTAAGTGTCTGCCAAGTAATTTCTAATTCATCTCTGGCTGGCAGGAAAAAATTAAATGTTAAAGATTTCTTTCCTCCTCTCTCTTTTCCCTCCTTCCCTTCCTTCCTTCTTCCCCTCCCTCCCTCCCTTCTCTTTCTTTTTCTTTCTTACTTTCTTTCACACGAGCAGGATCCGAAGGTGTCAAAGCCTCGCAGAGTGTGGTACATGAACACGTGGAGCCAGGGTGCATTCATTTTCAGAACTTTCTGCTTGAAGAGGGGTCTGGACAAGTGCACGATTCATTCTGGATTATGTACGAATCTTTGATGCTGACAAGGGAGTTGTCCTGTTGCCAAAATCAGCCAAACTGATCCCGTGACCCCACCCACCTGTGCTCTTGTCTCCCTTTGCTGTGGACGTCAGAAAGTAAATCCCAACTTCCCACTTCCCCTGTGGCCAGGTGGCACCTGAGGAATCTGGCTGCTGATTAAAACCCACGTGTGATTTCCAGGCCCTCCCTGCAGGCCGTACGGCAAAAGGACTGGTGTGTCCAGGAGTGGCGGGCAAGGCCGCCCCACCCCCCACTCCCGCCAGCCATCGCACACACCTGCACTCCAGCTCCCGAGCTCCCTGTGGGCCTCAGAGAACCCCGCAGGGAAGACACTTCTCTCTGACTCAATCCTCTCCCACTCTCAGCCCTTCCCCTCATGCTACCCAACACCCACCCACTGCCCCAGGTCCGTAAAACTTCAGGAGCCTTTTGTTTGAGGACCCCTCGAGAGTGAGCTGACCCCCATGTCTGCGCTGACCCTGCTGGCCCTGGGCCCTGCGGGTGCTCCGGTCCCTGGGAGTCAGCACATCTCGCAGCTATAGCCTGTTGCTGGCGCTAGTGTGGTAAGCCTTCTCTGTGCCTTTGGTTTGGCTTGTTGTTGCTTTAATTAGCTACTCTAATGCCTGGCAGCTCTCTCAGGTCAACTGAGCTCCTGACAGAGCCATGGGCTGCAATTTTGGGCAGTTTTCATCTAAGAGGCAGTCAGCTGCTTGGTTTGTAAGGGGCTGGGGATGGAGAATAAATGACATTCTGCCTTTGTCCTGGCCAGGCGACAGGTGTGATGGTTGGAGATGCAGCAGCCATTATACGAGCACAATGTGATAAGCCAAGACCCTAAATAAAGGTGCCAAGAAGAAAGGTCAAAAGAGCCTGGGTTCTTGATAACACTATCGAGCCACTATAATAGGCTCAGGATATCTTTGTACTTCTTCTTGTGCAAGAAAAATAAACTTCTTATAGTGATTAAAAAATATATCCAGCTGGGCATGATGTCTTACACTTGTAATCCCAGCACTTGGGGAGAGACCGAGACAGGAGGGTTACTTGAGCCCAGGAGTTTAAGACCAGCCTGAGCAACATAGTAAGATCTCTGTCTCTACCAAAAAAAGAGAAAAAATTAGCTAGGTGTGCTGGCTTCCACCTGTAGTGCCAGCATAGCCTGAACCAGGCGTTCAAAGTTGCTGTGAGCTATGTATGATTGCACCACTGCACTCCAGCCTGGGTGACAAAGTGAGACTCTGTCTCTAAAAATATTAAAAATAAAAATTAGGCCACATGCAGTGGCTCATCTCTATAATTCCAGCACTTTGGGAGACCGAGGTGGGAGGATCAATAGAGCTCAGGAGTTCAAGACCAGCCTGAGCAAGAGTGAGACCCCATCTCTACTAAAAATAGAAAAATTAGCTGGGTGTAGTGGCACGTGCCTATAGTCCTAGCTACTTGGGAGATTGAGGCAGGAGGATCACCTGAGCCCAGGAGTTTGAGTTTGCTGTGAGATAAGTCATGATGCCCTGCTAATTTTTTTTTTTTTTATAGAGATGGGATGGGGTGAGGGTCTCACTGTGTCACTGAGGCTGGTCTTAAACTTCTAGCCTCAAGCAATCCTCCTGCCTTGGCCTCCCAAAGTGCTGGGATTACAGGCCTGAGCCACTGCGCCAGGACTGAGTTTTACATGACCACACTGTGGAGAGTGGCCTGGGGAGGACAAGGTTTGAAGCAAGGAGCCGGGCCGGAAGGCTGCTCGGGAATCAGGAAGGGATGACTGCGGCCCAATTACAAGTTGGCAGTGGAGCCGGGCAGAGTGATAGCACTGGGAGGGATCGGGGCATGTTTTGAAAGAGAGCTGACGGCAATTGCTGACGGTGTGCTGATGGGTGGCTACATCTGCTAGAAAGGCTAATTATTAATTCATGTGAAACTCGATGGTCTTGCCGTCATTTGGGTGTACCGATCCAAATGTCTCCTGGGCCTACGTTTATGGTCTTTGGAGAAGAAAGTGAAGGAGCATCGGGATGCAGACACTAGAGTTTAAAGATGAAGCCGGACATGTCCTGTGCGTTAGTTCAAACAGGTGGCATTAATGAGCGCTCTTCCCGGCCATATTGCACGGCCCTCCATCTGGGGTCCTCCTCCAGTTCTCGGTTCCTTTTGTTCCAAATCAGAGCACTAGGATTTGGATTGCTTAGGATTTAACATGAATCATTCCTGAGGGACAGGGAGCAGGATAATGAATGCTATTAATTAGCCTGCTAAGCATTCTCTGTAGCTAGAGGATATGTGGTTGCAACTAGAAAGCTCAGGTAATTATCTCTTTATTATGTATGAGTCTTATTTACATGCTCCACATGGGCATTTATGACTGGTTAGCGCAGATAAATGGATGCGTAGGCTGCTGACAGCGCCATGGCTTCGCGCCCTGCAGCGCCCTCTTCTCCAGGGCTGAACGCTCCCTTCCTTGTAGCACACGGCGGCCAGCCAGTCTGGAGACACAGATAATACTATTTAATTGTGGACTATTAATAAACCATTTATCATGTTTTTAGCTGTGCTTCCAGAATTTGGTGGCTACCCTGGAGACACTCTTTGGGGTATCTTTACCAAAACTCAACGTTCTAGCTCTCAGACCATTCCACCTCGGAGCAGCCCCCTCACCCACACGGATGGGCTCCCAAGAGGCTTGGCCCAGGTTATGATGGGACCCACCTCTCCGGCCGCAGGTGATCGGACAGGAGGTGAACACTTGATTCAAGCAGGGCCAGTCAGGTTCTTCCTCCCAGAAGTAGGAATGGAGAGACAGCCACGCAGCCTCCGCTCATGACTAGGCAGTCACGGCTAAGCACATCAGCTGTGGTTCTGGACCCTAGTGTCAGAGAATGAGGCAGATGGGCAGAAAAAGAAAAAAATAGAAACCAGAGGAGAGATGGACCAAGAGTGCATCCTGGGAATGCAATGCTTTTCCACTCTCAACTCCGCTCTTCCCGAGATCTGGCTGTCCTCCTGCCTCTGATTTGTTGACACACTTTTGTATCCTTATACCAAATTCCATCTCTGAGCCAAGTAGAGTCCCATAGGTTGCTGCTACTTGCCACCAAAGAGATTTAACTAACATGACTTTAATCTTGTCTGCAGCTTCCCCAGGGAATGCCATTGCTCACGAGGGTCAGGAAGAAATGTGTAGATAAGTATGAGTGCATTGTCTTTGCAGTGGAAACAATTTAAGAGCATCCTCTTCTAGAACAAAACCAACAGTTTCATCTTTAGATACAAGGGCAGCTGCATCAGCCCTGTAGAGCAAGGAAAACTCCTCTTTCTATTGCAAAATTGACTTTTTTATGTTAGAAAAGAATTTCCCCGAGGTACTGACAGTAGAATCTGCTCTTTGAAAAATGATTTTAAATCCTTACACTCCAGCAGGTCTTTGCTTAAATGAAAAGTTGTCTTCAGATATCAGGGCTGAAATGTCCTCATGAAATGTTTGCACTGTCCTTTACTAAAACTGCCTGCATTGAGTATAACCAAGCAGAATGGCCTTCCTCGTCTTGGCTCCTCGTCTTGGCACTTGGTATAGTGCCACTAAACTGCATTTTAGTTGGTGATAGGGGTGATGTTTCCTATTTTTAATGGTTAGCAAGAGGTGGAGGAGCGTAAGGGTCCTTATTTCAGTGTAATGTCCCTTCTTTATAGCTGGTAGCTTCATAAGGCTGGGCAAAAATATTCCCCTAAAATGGTAAAAGACTTTAAATATGAACAAGAAACACAGGAATGAAGGAAAGCAGGTGACACCCCAAGTAGCACAATGCACTGACATGCCCCCCCCCCACACACTGCTTCAGGAGATGACATCCTCAGGGACAAGGACTCTTCTGCCCAGAGCAAGCACTTTGCCTGCAAGAGAACAGCAGATAAATGTTTATGGAGTAAACCGATCGAATGAACAAAAGATTGAAAGGACTGATCAGTGCAAAGCTAGAACACTATATTACCCATTGCTATAGGACACTCATTTGTTGCTGTTGAATTTAAAATACTAAATCCTCCTGAATTTATCCACCCAGTTAGAATCTGCTAGCCTCTGGATGTGAAAAGGAAAATTCTAAAGACTTGTCAGGTCTCGCAATTAATGCTCTTACACTATTTTGAGTGTAGATAAAAGTCACAACCCAAAGACCCTGACCGGGCCACCGTGTATGTGAACGAGGGTGGGGTTCACTCTGCGAACTCTACCCTGTGACCACCCCCCCCATACTCGAGTGGCTGCTGTACCAGGGCTGTCCAACTCTGCGAAGGACGAGCCTGGAGGAAGCACCTCCAGCCCGGGGTCTGCAGGCCAGGGGCGCAGGGAATCTCTGCCACCCCTTTTAATTACAGTTTCTGGAAGAAGAGGCTGAACCTCCTCTGATTTGGAGAGAGCCTGGTTTCTTTATCTTATTAACAATAACACATCCCAGTGCTCCAGTAATTACAGACCTATTCCTGAAGCAATCAAATTGCTTATTTGAAAGAAAGACTGTTTCCTTTCCCTAATGAATGCGAACAGTCCCCCGGAGCCCGAAGGTGACGGGCATGAAAGCCCCACTGTAACAATGAAAAGCGATTATAAATAAATGACACAGAGCCGCTCTGTTCTTAAAAATCACTGGGTGATCAATTTGAGAGACGTGTGCAGAGATGGGACTCAAGAGATTTTGTTTTAATTATTCCGCCCGAAGGAAAACGATACTTTGTTCTTTGCTGGCACCATTGCACAGAGAAGCTTAGAGACTTTTAAAACATGATCCTGTTCATCCCTCTCAAACCACCGGCGTAGACCGCTGCCCTCATTTTCCAAAAGGGGAAACTGAGGTTGTAGACAGTTGGGTGTTTCTGTTCTCAGTGGCGTATTTAAAGACTCCGGCATCATCCTAGCCAGGGATTTATTTTTTTTATTTTTTTTTGCTTCTCCCTTTCTCAACTGCTCTAATAACTATATTTGAAAACCCACCAAAAAGAGGAGAAATTAATTAACAGAAGGCTGTGAAGAGGAGGTGAGCTGTTACTTTTATAAGCTGCCAACCTCTTAAAATAATTTTAAAATGAGGCTTGTGTGTGTGCACACGTGTGTGCGTGTACATGTCTGAGCACGTGTTGTCCGTGGGATCAGGACACAGGATGGAATGGGGAGGAGGCGAGGGCGTTTCACCACAGCCACTGACCCCTGGAGTCACTGCCCCGCACAAAGGCTGCAGCCACCAGCTCCAGGCCAGAGACTAGGCTGGAGGGGGAGTCACGAAAAGTCCACCTACATTACAGGTCTGTCAGATCAGAGTTCCCTTGGAATAAAGTCTTCTAGAATTAAAAAAAAAAACAAAACCCTGCTTATTAGTTAATCCAGGCTCCCCACCTGAGTCCCACCACTGCCCAGAATGGCAATTCACAATTAATTTTTCATCGGAGGTCGTGCTGCCTGCCACCAAGATGGCCCTCTGAGGCTGCATGGAAAAGTCAGCTTGTTACCCTTTGCCACTTAAAAAAAAAATAAAAAAATAAATTGAGTCCATTTGAAATTCATAGATATGAGTCTGCAACTGCAGAATTTCCAACAAAACAAAGTAAGCATTCCTCAGGAGACTGGATATTTCTATTTCCAGAGATCCTCTACTGCAGGATCCGTGCTTTTGAGATGCATTCCTTGATTCTGGGTGACACGTGCCTTGGCAAAACTCTCAGCGATATGACATTCATGGGGAGTTGGCAGAAGTCCCCCCCAACCCCTGACTCAGAGGAGCCTTGTCTCTGCTACTTTTCAAGGAAGAGAACTCAGATCTATCATTTGGACGAGTCTCTGGGACTTGGCTGTCTATATGGTTGGATGGTTTTAAGTGGCTCAGCTGATCACATTGACCAAGCCATGAGCTAGTTTGGTAAAGTGCTTAGCTAATTGTCCAGTTGATGATCAAATCAA